ATTGGACTCGATCTTCAAATCACTCTCGAAATTTTTGAGATGACTCTAACCCAAGAAAAAGTGAGATGAAAATAATCTTATGTACTCTCAGCTTTTTTTTTTTTTTTTTTTTTTGTATATCATCCAACTCAACTTTGTCATATGAATAAACAATGACATTTCTTTATACTTAAGTGATGTTTACCTTCCCTTCCAATACATATTCTTAATATCTGAAAATAATTTGCACCTTTATCATCCCTAATGAAATAATAATTACAAAAATTAATTGAATACTTAAGATTTCATGAATGATAAATACTACTGGTAATTGTAATAACCATGATGGCAATGCCTAAAATAATGATAGTGAGAATAATAATAATGGTGATAATAACAGCAAGAATGGCCATGTTCATATTAATTTATATGACCATCTTTAATCAAACAGTAATCATTTCAATAACAATAATGATAAAGTTAATATTATCAAATTTGATAGTAATGATAATGATGATGATGATGATCCTAATGAAAACAACAATGATGATAGTGATGATAATCGAAATGATAATAGTATTAACAATAAGACGAATAACAATAACAGTAATAATTATGATAATAACGATAATAATAATGATAATGATAATGGTAATAATAAAGATGACGATAATAATAATAGTACTATTATGATAATAATAATAATTAAAATATAGTAATGATAATAACAATAATAATAATAATAATGATAATGATAATAACATCAATAACTACAATAACAATGATAATGATGATAATTGATAATAATAATGACAATTTTGATAACAGTTATAATGATGATTATTATGACAACAATAAAGATATTAATAATAATGATAAGAATAACAATAGTACTGATAATGATATAGAAACAATAATGATTTAAATGATAATAATACTAATGACGATAACAATAGAGATGACGATAATGATAATAATAATAACAAATGACAATAATGATAACTACTTCTGATGATATCCTTCATGGTAAAAATAATTATGATAACAAAATAATGATAATCCAAGAAAAAAATAAACAATATCAATAACAATCATACGGTTATACATACATACCCACATATATCTATGTATCTCCCTTTCTCTCTCTCTCTTTCTGTTCTTCTCTCTCTTTCTGTTCTACTCCTCTATCTTCTCTCTCTCTCTCTTTCTGTTCTTCTCCTCTCTTTCTGTTCTTCTCCTCTCTTTCACTCTCTCTCTTTCTGTTCTCCTCTCTCTCTCTCTCAACCATATCTACATATGAATTATTTTTTATCAAGAAGGTTACTAAAAAAGGAAAACATTTCCTAATTCCCTTTTATTAGTGACTGAACAAAACACAGTCTTTGCCGAGAACATCACAAGAAGCGGCGTACCTGCCCTTCACGATAGCCCGACGAAGGAGCACCTGCTGGCCCTTCGTCAGCGTAGGGAAGACCTCCACTTCGACGATGGAGATGGCCAGGTTTTCGCCGACCCAGTCAGCCACGGAAGAATGGCGCTTGAGAGTGAGTCGTTTGCAGATGATCCAGGATAGACAGGCCATCGTCTCTCGGTTGATTAGGGCGGCGGAGATTGAAGGAAGATCCGCCAATCCCGGATCCGACAGGCGCGAGGTGTTCGATGCGGCTTCGGATTCGAGTTGTTGGTTTCGTTTGGTTTCGAACGCTGGAGCCGCGTCGGTGCTCTCCTGGCGTGGTTTCCAGCCGTGTCCGGTGTCTTCAGTCGAAATGGCTCGTCCTGTCGATGCGTTGTGACCTGCGATGTTGTCCGGACACAGGCACTCGACGCCCTTTCCCACGATCGACCTGCTGGCCCTCGAGCCGTGTGGAAGAGCTCGACGTCGGACGCTCGCGGAGTTCATGTTCATGTTGGACGTTTCGACCGTGATGGAATTGCTGTTCAAGTTGTTGTCGTTGTTGTTATTGTTGTTGTTGTTATTGTTATTGTTGTTGTTGTTGGTGTTGATGCTGATGATCATGTTGACCGCCAGGTTGGTGAGCAGGACGGTGCCGCTGAGGAAGTTGAAGATAGAACTCGCAGGATCCGGCGAGGTCGAGGGGCACTTGCTGCTCCTTGGTCTCCGTCGCAGGACGTCCCTCCTCCTTCCAGGGAAAGGACCCGAAGTCTCCTCAAGTGACAGCCAAGGAGGGGAAGAAATGGGTAATTTTCCCAACGCAAATGCTCTGCCATCCTGACTCTCCAAAGCGCCCGTGACGTCTTGTTCCGAGAGGGTTTGAGAGTGGTTTGTGAACGCGATGCGAGGCGCTGCTTCCGCCCCTGCGACGAGTACCACGAGTACCGCCGCCGCTGGATTCCTCCTTACCAGCTCCATGGAGTACACCCTGTCAACAAATTTTTAAAAAATCAATTATCTTACCCCTTTCTTTCCGCTGAACTCTTCATGAACAAATCAAACTGACAAACCAAGTACTACAAACCATTCACGACTTCCCTCCAACCCCCAAAGAAACCCGAGTGAACCAAAATCAGTACAAACCCTCAGTCAGACTTGGGACACGAGCACTGTACAGAAGCCAACCCGCGCGCGTCCTGCTAAGCCAGTGACCAAGAACCCCGCACGGATCACGTGACCCGCCGCTACACGCCAACACCCCAACAACGGCATCACAACGGGAACGAGCAGACGGACGACCTCGGTGCTAAACAACGGGAAAATAAACCCACGCAGAGAGGGGCGACTTGCGGATGACCACCTCACCGTGACAGAGGCATTTAAAAGGTTGTAATAATACCGTTCGTCTAGGAAGTTGTAGAGGCCTGAGGTTGTAGTTGCCTGAACGAGCCTAAAGCTAGGGAATTTTGGCTCTTCTGACCTGGTTTCGGCTATAAGATATTTCCTTGCTTGCTTGCTTAATATCGCTCCTAAGTTATACCATAAAAAAATCTTATTTTAGCTTCCGTGTATATAATTGCCTCTCTTCAGTACATAAGATTTCTAGCACCTTCATATGTACAAAACCACATAATTAAGACCTCTCTTCAGTCAGCTTCGACGCAGCAAACCCCCCCAAAATATCGTAAAATAATCGTAAAAGATATGAAATAATATAAACATAGATAAACAAATAAATTAATGATAAATAAAGAATCGTAATGTAACTAAAACTGAAACGCGACGGCCGTAAGGAGACGGGCCCAGAGGAGCATAACCCGATTCGTGGATCTTGGATTTAAGCGACGCGTTCTGAGCGATATGATCAGTGACGCAAGGGAGTTGGTCGCGCGTGGATCTCCGTCACGCCTCGGAGCGGTGGTAACGGTGCGTGGGAAAATAGGGCGGGGGAGGGAGGAGGGGTGGGGAAGGGAGAGAGGTTAGGGGGGATGGGAGCGGAGAGGGGTGTGGGGATGGGAGGGACGAGTGGAGAGGAAAGGGGAGGAAGAAATCGTAAATAGGCGCTAAATTTACTCCTGGTATCGATATATATCTTGAGGATTCTTGGATCTTTGTATCTATTCATTCATCTATGCACCTGCTTATAATTCATGTGTCCGTCTGCATTGTATCTTTTTTATCGACCAATCTACTGGTCAAAAAGTCTGACATTTAATCTACCTATACGTACACTTGTCTATCTATATATCTATCATCTTCCTGTATAGTTATCCTTAAATTATTCATCTGACATCTATCAATCTATCTCTCCATCTCGCTTAACTATTTCTATAAGCTCATTCAATTCCAACAACCGCAAACAATTACGCATCGATAAAATGGGCGTCGATACACCACCAGGAGGATCGAAGTCTACACTACACGCCCAGGAAACGATTCACGCCCACAACGCAGCGAAATAATAACCCACAGATACATACCGTTACGTTTTTTGACGGGAGAGTGACAGCTCGCAGCACTTTTGTTACACTTACTCTCCCTCTAGCGGAAATGTGCGCTTGGTGGTCGTCAGGTGTTTTTTTTTGTTTGTTTTTGTTTTGGGTGTGGGTGTTGTGTCGTGTGTGTGAGTGTGTGTGTGTGTGGGGGGGTACGTGCATTTTGTAAATATAATGTGTATGAGAATATTTATATTGTGCTCTTATGATGGCTATATGTTAGTATTGTGATGGTTATGTTAGCATTATGATCATTTTGTGATTATGTTACCATTATGGCAGTTATCTTAGTACTGTTATATGCTAATGCTAAGATAATTTTGTTTGTGTTATGATGATAATGTTAGCATCATGATAATTAGGTTAGCCTTATGACAGTAATGTAAGCATTGTGATGAAGTTTTGTTAGTTGGTGTTTTGAAATCCGGGTTAATTGCATGATATTAGCTGGCACAATTACAGTTATATTAGTTAGTAATTGAGATTAGCCAACCAGAACTGTGTCTATATTTCTGCGAAGTAAATGGGAAGTCTGCCCGTTTTTGCAAAGTCTAGATATGTCTGTTTAGACTTTACTTGTTGAACCTTACTTTAAAGTAGAATAGAATGTTTTTTATAATGTTGAGAGTAACACTGTGAATAAAAGATAAGTTCTTGACTGTTGTGATTTCGTCTTCCTTTGAAATACTCTTTTGCTTTATCATTATCATCATATAAAAAGAAATAAAAGTATAAAAGCATGTCATTTTGAGTTCCTTCTTCCACGTATCTTTTTAGAGAATTATTATAATCTTCCTCAATCATGTCTTTATATGTAAAAGCTGAGATAACAGTACCTAACAAAAATGATAAGGATAACAATTAAAGATAAGTAAAGATAGAAATAAAAAGGACTGAATAATAAACAATAAAAATAACTGATGCAAAAATAACAAAAATAACTGATGCAAACAATAACAAAAATAAATTTAATCAGCCAACGGAGAAGATTCAACGTCATCCTTCGTCTGTATACCTCCTTAAAGACCCTTAAATATAACGGCTTCCAGATCAAACAGAAGAATGAGATCGTGCGTCTCGTCAGCTGCTTCTGGGCGCCGATGTTTGCCCAGTAGCGGCGGTGTGGGCGTCAGGCAAACACCGTCAGCCCTTAAATGTCAGCGCGAGGGGTGCGGGTGGCCACACTCCTGACTGAGGTGAGACATGGCCCGCCGTCCTGCCCGAAAATGGCCCTGTTTCCTCTCCTCCTTCTCTTGCTTTATCTCCTCTTTCTCTGTCCTTCCTCCGTCCTCTCGTCCTCGATCTCGACTCCCTTCTCCTCCTCTTCCTCATCCTCCTGGACGCCCGAGATGCTCGCCCGCTTCGAGGCCGAGCTAGACGAGGCTGCCGCGAACGCCCTCGCTTCCATGAACGGGGATAAGCACGCCCACGCCCACGCCCACGAACGACAGCCCCGCTCGTGCTCCGGGGGAACGGGCGCCTTTGGGTTCAACACGTTCAACTTCCTGACGTTCCTCCTCCTCACGTTCAACGGGGTGGTGAACGCCATCAACAACGTCAACAACAACAACAACAACAACAACGACAACTCGCAGAACAACATCCACGTGAACACGGACTCGCTCGCCTCCAACTCCGACTCGTCCAACAGCATCACCGTGATCATCCCGCCCATCCCGGGTCGCAGGCGGAGGTGAGTGGGCGTCTGAGCTCGTCTACGCCCACGCTCACGAGGCTGAGGGGAAGCGGGGGTCGTGGGTGTGGCTTGGCTTTTGGTGGTTGTGTGGGTTTTGGGGATGGGTGGGAGTGGTGGGAATCGTGTTTTTGTTTGTTTGTTTGTTTGCTTAATTCTTTATCTTATCTCTTCTCTTTGTCTCTGTTCTGTCTCTCTGTCTCTCTTCTTCTCTTCTCTCTCTCTCTCTCTCTCTCTCTCTCTCTCTCTCTCTCCTCCTCTCTCTCTCTCTCTCTCTCTCCTCTCTCTCTCTCTCTCTCTCTCTCTCTCTATCTCTCTTCTCTCTCTCTCTTTCTCTCTCTCTCTCTCACTCTCTCTCTCTCTCTCTCTCTCTCTCTCTCTCTCTCATTCTCTCTTCCATTCATTCCCCATCTTCTTAGATCCGTGTCCAAGACCCTCCCTCCCATTTCGCAGAGGCACACGCGCGTGCAAGGCGAGGGACGCAGCCAGCCTCGTCGCCCACCGCCTCGTGTCCGCCGCATCAGCTGTGAGTCGAGCGGCCAACATGTCCTCAACGTGTTTCGAAGCGGAGATCTGCCGGCAGATCGTGAGCATCGCCGGGGAAGCAGGGGGTGTCGCCTACGCCCGAGGGTATGGC